TGAAGAATAACATACTTTCATCATTAAAAGAGTGAAATATTAATAACATTTGATACAAAAACTTGTACCTTCATTCCTAACACTGCTGGGGAGGGCTACTGAAGCTGTTAGTACTTGCTCTGGCTGAGCCTCAGGCATTTCAATTACTTCTGGTACTAGTGGCACAGGCTCTTCTAGTTCAGGTGCTTGTATTGATTGAGATGCATCTGGTGTAGGCTGCTGACTTATATTTGGCTCACTGGTTGGTTGGACTACAATGAAAATGCAGAACATTATTTCAGAACACATCTTAAAACAGAAACAGTTAGTAATACCTAAAATTTGAAATATTACCTAAATTCTCCTCTACTTGGTCAGCAAAGGCACAAAGCTCCTCATCATCTACATCTTTAGTAATTGATGTAGATGTCACAGTGGCAGAAGGTGTCTTTGGTTTTCTTTTTCTCACTGATACAGGGATGGTAGGTTTGAACTTTTCAACACCTGTGGTTGATGCAACCCGGGACAAATATTTCTCGGTGCTTATGTGCCCAGATGCCAGACCAGCTGCCAGGGGGGAGACAACTTGTTTTGATGCAGAGTTTTGGCTTGGTTGTGGGGAATTGTGTTGCTTTTTGGCCTCTTTATCCTCCCTCTGCTTTCTCTTCAGGGCCACAACATCACGACCCTCTTGAAAAGATTCCACATACTTCTTTAAGGCAGCTTTGTTTTGACTTATAGGAGAGTTGGTCACTTTTTCATTGCGAATGTTGTCAACAAACCAACCAATGTAGCCAAGAGCGTTTTCCAGCATCCACCTGAAGGACTGGCCACGATATTTTCCAAACTGGAGCAAGTACTCTCCTTGAACATCAAGTTCATTTTGAACATCCCCTTTTCTCTTCTTAACAGCTTCAATAGCAAGTTTTTTGACCTGAACGTAATAGTACAGTGATAATAAAGATTAGGTTTAGATTTAGTCTTTCTAAAACCAAAGGAATACGAAGAAACTATCATCACAAAATGAACAAGAATTTTTTATTAAGTCATAACTGTGAACTAAATAAGAATTCGTTTCTTAATCGAGTATCTTAGCGTAGGATAGGTTTTTAATAACGTCTGATTGTAACATCGCTAAGTTTTATTATCACCAAAATTTATAAGCCACAAGCAATTCAGTTTTACTGTAATCGTCGCAAAACAAGACAAGAGTCCGTCTTAGCGGCTTCGATACACACAGGGCACAAGGCTAATATCACGCGGTTACAGTTAAATAAACCAACTAAACGATTTTTCGTGGATCGAAAATACCATTATGCATGAATAATTCGGGCTATTTGTCACTGTTAGCTTGTTTTTTTATTTTTTTCTTTATCAGGCGACCTGTGGAATATAACCTGAACTTGACGTGACCCGTATATTTAAATGACCTGACCTTTCGCCTCGCCGCTTCAATATCGGTAAGAACAAATCGGTCTTAAACTTTTAATTGTTTTGTTTGTGTTTAAGTCCTCAGAGTATATAATTAAGAGCGCAATGAAGCAGTCGGTCTTAATTGATGTTTTATTAAACAAAACAAAAGCGATAAGCTGTGTCGGTTAGGACCTTAACAATTGGCTTTTTGAAATTTTAATCTAACAATTCTAAATTGTTTAAGCCTACCTCTTCGGGAAGTATGCTAATGACCTGGTCCGCAAATTCGTGAAGCGTTCCAAATTTTTTGTTTTCTGCGGCAGAGATAAATTAAATAATCTATATGTACTTTACTTCCGCTTTTTGCTCAAAATTACAAAATATTATTTCTAAGGCGTTACTTCGCCAAACAGACGATTCAATGGCTATTATAACCCGTAAACTAGTATTTTGTATCCAAATCGTCGCTTCTTCCGTAAAAAAAATTGCAAATTTAGGCCGAAAATGTATAAAAAGAGTGAAAATGCGCATAGAGCGACACTCTCGCAAGAGTCCACGATCGCGCTCGAATGCGTGGCGCGCGCTAACGACCTAACGCACGCGTGGATCACATACGAGGCATTTGAGTGCTTTTCTACTTAGAAGACAGGTAGCGTAGCGGTATCCTTTGGAGAGCGTGCGTATTGTATAGAATTTTTCAATATGGCGGACAAACACAAACATTTGTCCATCTAATTTTTGTAAGTGGTGTTGCAAACTCTTTAGAATTATTATCAGCAGTTCGAAAACCAGTCATCTTGTTTACAAAATGGCAGCCAGTCTCGTACATCATAAAGGTATCCTGCATTTTTCTTTCTAATTTTATACCTGTTGGTACTTAATTTATATCAATTTTGGGTCTGCGGCGGAAAGATGACTACAATTTCGAATGAAGAATTATCACGTGGATCAGACATTGACAAGTTGTCGTCTTTTTATGGGAGCACACAAGGGTTTTAATGAGAAATCAATCGTTTTGGTATTTTTTGCTCTGAGCTCAAGGTTCAAAATAACAGCCGGCTGACGGCAGCAGCCGGAACTTATAGCACCTTTGCCAGCGATTTTTCACCGAAGAACTAGAATTTTATGGAAAATATGATGGTTACTGATCGTCCAGCTGAAATAAAAGTCGCTGTCATGTTATGGTGAACATTTCATGTCATGCAATAAAGCAGCCAAGAAATGTTTAAAAAGCTTTTTGAAAACGTAAACGAGTATAAAGTTTCGAAATTTGAAGCATGCTACGAGGAGGATTTTTGTTTACAGTATTCAGCTTTCTACGTATTTGTTCAAGCGTGAACCATGCAAGTTTGTGTACACACCGTCACATTACCGTGTTTATGTTTCTGCACGTACATACTAACTTAAATCGAGATTAATTTTCCGCCAAATCCTGTTTAATATCGTATGTAAAGCTTTCTCTCACGCGTTCAAAGTTAAAGCGTTCAAAGTCAAGCTTGACAGTACGGATTTCCTATAGCTGTGAATGGAGAAGCGTGACAGTTTGTCTCGTCAAAGTTGTATATTTCACACTTGAACAAACACCAAAAAATTGAACCATTCACTAGGCTGTGTTAGAAAAAAAATTGCTGCAACAAAACATGTTAGTCAAAATAAAGATTCTGATGCTGAAATTCATTATTAACAGTTAGGAAAAAAATGAGCCTTGACAAAAATCTACAAATTCACGCTAAAAGCTGAAACATTATTTTGAACTCTGGAGCTTGCAATTTTTACCTTGTTTCATGTCTCCAAGCTTTCACCAATCCATAGAATCATCAGCAATTTGTCCTTGTACAATAATACTTTTCTCTGTTCTTGTTGCTATAGAGATCAGGGTTTAAGATGGATTCAGCATTATGTGTTACCAGTCCTACAGAAACAATTTCAATTTTTTTGAAGCTTTATCTTTCCAGGATCAATTATTCTATGATTACAAAAATGTGCATGCTTATTCTTTTTTACATAAATGCTGTTTCATCATCTGTTCTAGGAATCTGCAAAACCTTGCATTGGTGGACCTCCAAAAGAGTGCTTTGTTGTTTTCAAAGGGATTCTCAACAATTTAATTTGAGAACACCATCTAGTGTTTTGTTCAACCCTGCACAAAGTCAGCACCATACCACATCAGAACTAGTTCAATGCATTAAAGCATATCCACCTGGATTACCTTCCTCTTTTTATAAGAATTTCAGAACTTGTTCAAGGCAGTTTGTACGTAGCTTTTGCAGTAAAAGTTCAGGGATTGACCTGCAAAATGAGGCTTCAACATCCCAGAAAAATGACTCTACTTCAAAAATCACAGGAGTTGCCCCAAAACTCAGTCATGTTGACAAGCAAGGCCATGCACAAATGGTTGATGTGGGTAGCAAGACAGAAAGCAGTAGACTTTCAGTGGCAACAGCTAAAGTGTATTTGGGTCAAACAGCATTTAACCTTGTGAAAGAAAATAAGATCCATAAAGGTGATGTTTTGACAGTAGCACAGTTAGCAGGGATTATGGCATCTAAGCAAACACCAAATCTAATTCCATTGTGTCACAATATTCACATTACTCATGCAGAGGTCAATCTAGAACTTGATGAAAAAAAGTTGGCAGTGCGTATCACAGGATCTGTGAACTCTGTTGGAAGAACAGGAGTTGAAATGGAATCTCTGACAGCAGTGACTGTTGCAGCTTTGACTGTGTATGACATGTGTAAGGCAGTTTCGCGTGAAATTGCAATTTCCGATATCAAGCTTGTGAAGAAAGTTGGAGGAAAAAGTGGTGATTACGTTGCAACTTGAAATGCATTCACAGTGGCCCTCTCACTACAACAAATTCTCAACAACCATTTGCAACAGAAGATTACAGGAGCAATGTCAAAACATGCTTTGCAAAGTTAAAAATGTTGTTTATTTGTGAGAGTTGTTGTTTCTCTCCTTATTTATCAGAGAGATTCACAGTTATTATTATCACTGATTGTTAATTTGGAGCAGGTGGAGTAATTTGTACTTCACATGGTGCATATTGCAAATGAAAATGGATCAACTAAAGGAATAAACACAAGCCTTGTTGAATAATGATGAAATTATTTTAGGTTAAAGTGATTAAAAACTCATTTGAGTGTACTTTTCTGAGTTTATTCTCATTTTTCTAGTGACCTCTATTTGCTGTCTGTTGGGAGTCAAAATTTCTGTTGAATTCCTATTTAAATTCTTGTTGTTGCTAATTCAAAGTATTGTCCATTTATTTGTAGGTACAAAGCAATCTTTTTTCTTTTTAATGAAAAGTCAAGACAAATAATTAGCAAGCAACTTCTTCATAAAGTTCTCGTATCTTTTGACTCCTTAGAGTGACTGGTATCTCATTTCTCCAAACAACTTCATCCTGAATCAAATATTAAGGTCACTAGAAAAAAAACAAACTGATCACCACCTGTAGAAGCTCTGGATTGTTAAACAAATTCTCCTTGTCAGCACCTTAGAAAATGTATTGAGAACAGTAAGGAGAATATGCATACTGATCTCAGGGTGTAAAGGGTTTCAAAAAGTGATGAGAAGGGACTTTAATTTACTGTGGGATGATATCTCGATGTAACACCAAATTCTCTGAACTAAATAGCTGGGAAATGTATGGTAATTAGAAGGAAGAGTTACTTATCAGCCCAAGGGAGTTTAACCCTTTACACCCTAATATCAGTATGCAAACTCTCCATACTGTGCTTTATACATTTCCTAAGGTGCTAACAAGGAGAATTTGTTTAACAATCAAGAGCCTCTTCAGTTGGTGATCATCTCCTTTATTCTCATGACCTAAATGTGTGATTCAGGGGGGATGATGTAAGGAGAAATTAGATACTAGTCGCTCTTAGGGGTGAAAGGGTTAAGGGTCAGATGTTTTTTTTTTAGAAGCAAATGGCTGGCAGAAATGGTGGATATCTATATAGGCAAAACTGTTACATTTTTTACAAGGTATTATTATTATTATTATTATTATTGATTAAATCTTCACAAATGGCAGTGAGAGTTCCAATAATTGGCAGAAGATTGCTAATACCTGGCTTTTATTGAATGGAAACTCTGTCAAACAACACATTATCCATCTTGAGAAAAAGTCTACAAAGACGCAAATGTGGGAGAAGTAAAGTGCAGTCTGATTATACATTTAACCGTCGTTTTGAATTTTAACGGTTCCTTCAACAGTGAAAGCAAACTCTTCTCACGGAGTAGAGCTGTACGACCATTTCTTGCGCTCAAACTGCTACGCTCTCATATGCATATCTGAGTTATTTTTAACGGCAGGGAAAACTTCCCTTAAACGGGCCAAGAAAGTGGACTGATTTAGAAATCATTTTTAGGGTCTGTGTATTTTTTCCTATATTTCTGTTACGAAATTATCTCCAATGCCGCTTATTACTGAGTGAGCGAAAGCCGAACCATTTTAGCCAGCAGGAAACATGCCAGTAGTTTATCTTCAGTTCTCTTTTAACGTTTTTTTTCCTCATCTTAGAGGAGAGCAGATATAATTTATCTTACATTACTAGCATACACCACACAGGTGAATAGTGTTTTATGCCCACGCTGATTGGCTAGTTCAGAAATGATTTGCAAGTACTATTCACGTACATCCGAGCAGCCGAAGAAGACAAAATCGTGCGTCAAAAATTTAATTTCCCACCATTTTACAGTATATTGTTTGGAAAATAATAATTTTTTGGTTTCTGTGTGGTATTTACTAAAATAATTATACACCTCAGTGTCGGTGAAAGTGGTGTATATTTACCCTGGCGATTCGCAGCTTGGTAAATATCCACCACTATTCACCTCCACTTCGGTGAATAATTGTCTATTATTATAGCTTATCTCATGGGTGAGATATTGAGGGGATCTTTAGAAATATGCATTAAGGTACTCTCTCGCGTCATAACAGCATGCACCTGGAAGTACATCCGTCATGTAAGATATACTGTATTTCATAGACCACCACCCACTTTAGAAGTCAGAAGCTGTCGAGTGAAAGAACGTGCTAAAATAGACGCATTTCAAAAGGCTTTAACATGCGAGAAATTGTGCACATCCAGGCTGGCCAATGCGGAAATCAGATTGGCGCAAAGGTAAAATTTCTCGCAAAATGTATATTTTTCTTTTCCTAACGAAATTCATTTGACCGGTTGATGGGAATTTTGTGATTGAAACCCAGTATTTATTTCCGGATCGATTTCAAAGTTAAACTCGCGCAGTTTTTTGTAAATGCCGTTCCTAATTTTGTTGTACATATTATACAACAGCAACGGGTATATAAATCTCGTCATAAATAAATTTTTTGGTCGATAGTAAGCCCATAAAATTTCATACAGAAACTGACTTCATATGTAAATTTCACCACAGAAAGTGATTGGTTACTCTATGACATCTTTCACTGCAAGCATACATTTCCAAATTCGATACAAGTAATTGTTCATCTCAGACGAATTTGTGGAAATAACAAGAATCGGGAAAAGCTCCTTTTTTTCAGTTGCTTCTTTCTTGACTGTTTATCTCGCTACTAAATTTTTTACCGTATTGGCCGAGATAGATGCCTTTATATTTATTTCAGTTTTACCACACCCATAAAATATGTTCTTCGAAAAAATAATTAATCAATAAAAATATTTTTATCATACAGTCGAATTTTCACAATTTTTTTCCCCATACTTTGATTCAGTACTACTTTAATATTGTAATTTTTCTTGCTGAGTAAGTAATTTTAAACCTGTCTGTTCTCACTCTCCATTGAAATAAGTTATGTATCTGAATAATAAAAGCAAATAATACTAAATTTGAGGATTTTGCGTACATGTTTTAGTAATGGTTGCGACAACCAAACGAAACTTTCAATTTGAGCTAATGTATTATTTTGCATTTAATCTTGCGTTCTAGATTTGAGTACCACGATTAACAAAAGAAAAAGCATTATCATAACTTCATGTTTTGTTTTTCTTCAGCTGGAATTGACATTGTTGTTGAAGCCTTGAAAATGAAATGTTTCTTTTTAAAATCAACAAACCAGCTTTGATCTTGCAGGGCTCGCATGATATCTTCCGTAAATGACTCGCGCCGTATATTTTTCAGTTTTGGGAAGTGATTTCCGAGGAGCATGGAGTAGATCCAACTGGATCTTACAGCGGGGACTCGCAAACACAACTCGACAAAATTGACGTTTACTACAACGACGCCACAGGTAAAAGTACCAATTAAAAAACATGAAGAATTTAGAATCTTTTGTATAAATGGGAGTAGAGATTATGTAGAATTTCTTTAGTTAAATCCCACCGCGCTGAATGAATTTTACCTATAACAACAAAAGAGAGTTTTGAAGGCTTCCGAAGTCTGAATCCTTTCTTATCTGCCTTAGATCTGTTTCGAATGAAATTCTAATTTTGTTCTCTTATATACAATATAAATAATGATAGAGGTTGCCAAAGTTACTTCAGGATTTTCTTTATTTCAGCTTTCAATTGTTCTCAATTATTTATTTATAGTCATGTTCTAAATCAATTACCCCTGAAAAGAAATTTTAAACATCGGAAACTCATTTACTTCTCATTAATTATTTTCCATCTTTTTCTTCAATACAAGCGTGCATAGCATAGATATATCTCCCTGATTGATTTCTCGGTCTAGTCCTCTTACTACATATGCAATTTTCGCTGAATCTTTGAAACAAAGAAATATTACATTCTGAAGCTTTTGTTTATTTTAGATGTGAAAAAAGACTCTTAAAGGTCGCTTGTTGTTCCCTTTAGATTTAAAATTTTATAAATTCACGGCTATGTTTGTTTTTATCGAAATCCCTTTAAAAGCCGAAACATTCCCAAATGAATTTATTTGGCAAACATTTAACATTTCATCGAAATGTCACTGGTCAGCTCTTAATCATATCCTGTTTTCTTTGTCTATTACTCTAAGCATTCTATCATTAACACAGCAGGTGTCGGTCTTACATCAAAACTTATTCGCTTTTCAGGAGGGAAATATGTCCCTAGAGCGATTCTCGTCGACTTGGAGCCTGGCACTATGGATTCTGTGCGGTCTGGAGTGTATGGACAGCTTTTCCGACCTGACAATTTCGTTTTCGGTGCGGATTTTGTTTTCTCTGAAATTATTTCGCCTTCTGTGAGGTCTTATTTTTTATTTAAATTATTTACAAGCCATCACATGTATCACCTTTTATTTATTTATACCATAAAATTGTTGTAAGTCGCTAAAGCTTAAATGCGAAGAAAAATGCGTTGTCGTACTGGAAGAGATGAAAATTATTTTTTTATATTTCTAAGTGATGCTGTAAGTCAAAATATAAATTCTCACTACGATCGCAATATTTTTCTTTGGATGTTATTTTGGAGAATTTTCAATCACGTTGGGTAAATAATTCAAGTGATACATTTAAGGACTTTAAGTTTTTGTTGTAGACGAAATAAGCGAAAGTTTTTTGGTTGGGGGCAAAATCGTCCATTAAAGTTTTATTACTTGATGAGGAAAAATGAGATTCGAAAAAGCTTAAACGATGGCCACAAAGTCTAGTGGAGAAAATTTCATTTCTGATTGTTTTTTTTCTTCTGTTTTTTGTTCAGTTTTGATTTTGCCGTCGCTGCTAGTATTTGTCGTCCTCGCTAGCTGTTTTATTTATTTTCTAATTATTTAGAAGAGTTATTTAAAACTTGGTCCCATTCTTCCGTAGGTCAAAGCGGCGCGGGAAACAACTGGGCCAAGGGTCATTACACAGAGGGAGCCGAGCTAGTGGATTCAGTTTTGGACGTGGTCCGTAAGGAGACTGAAAGCTGCGACTGCCTTCAGGGCTTTCAGCTGACTCACTCACTAGGAGGGGGAACTGGGTCGGGCATGGGTACATTGCTCATATCTAAGATCCGCGAGGAGTACCCGGACAGGATCATGAACTCGTTCAGCGTTGTACCCTCTCCAAAGGTACGCATAGGAAGTGTATTATTTTCGCGCACGCCATTTTTTTTCCCTTCCATTTTTTTTCTCATCCCACTGATTGAAAACCTTGATCAGAATGCTAAATACTTGAGTAGCTGGACTTCTACCCTTGTTTGTGCTCAGTGACCATTATATTTGGTCGGGCGGTTGTCTCTATATGCGCAAGATCGACGTAACACCATCAACAACCGATGAAATGGTAAAAAAAAAAAAAAAAACCAAACGAAAGCGTAACCACCGGTCAAAATTTAATAGTAACAGGGTGCCCTTCCATGATCGACAACCTTATATAAAACTTCTTTAGATGAACTATACAGACAACTGGAAAACTAGATTAATTTTGTTGAATGTGAACATTCAAGACAGCTCCTTCTTTTTAGTTATTCCAAACGCCATAGTCTCAATTTGAACCAAAGTTTATTGAAATACAACTAACAACAAAGGCTACAGCGATTCCTAATCTATGATCACAGATATCTTGGACGTGTTGAACTGAAGACATGACCTTTTAGCGTGTCGATCTTTTACAGTTTTCTCTCGCAGATCACGAACAAACCTGTGCGCAGGGGCTTAAGGGCACGAGATAGTGGTACTCCTCCAGCTTTGTCTTATCTTTACTTCCCTGTAAATGGAATCCTGGCGGCAGCCTCGGCGGGGATTCCTTTGATTTCACACCTTTGAGCTCCCAGTGATTTTATATTCCCGATCTCTCTGTGATTTCATACTCTTGGGATTCTCTGTTTTAGTTTTTTCTTTAACACTCTTGGGCTTCCTGTGATCTTACGCTAATGACCCCCCTGCGACTTCACACCATGTTATTTTTCATTCCTACGCTCTAGTAATCTCAACCTCTTTTATCAGAATTTCATATCTTATCGTTTTCCCTTTACAGGTTTCGGACACAGTCGTGGAGCCTTATAACGCTACACTGTCAGTGCATCAACTCGTTGAAAACACCGATGAAACTTACTGTATCGATAACGAGGCCCTGTATGACATCTGCTTTCGAACCCTCCGACTTGCCAATCCTACATACGGGGATTTGAACCATCTGGTGTCAGCAACAATGAGCGGTGTAACAACGTGTCTGCGGTTTCCTGGACAGGTTGGTCAGCGTCACAGATCCGAGTATTTTGTTTTAATGTTTCAAATGTTGATGGAGAAAGATGTAACAGGAAAATTCTTGTACATTTTCGAATCTGACAGTGTTAAAGCAAAGAGATTAAGTTCTTTTGTCCAATCTATGAATGCAAATTGGTAGATTACAAAATAATATGTTTCTGCTTCGCCAATTCTTCCTTTAAATTTTAAGTGGTCATCTTATTCGGCGCTTGTACTCCACTGAAGCGTTCCCACACCACGGATAATACGTAAAGAAAATTGTAAGCCTGGGACAAGGGAAAAAAAATCTGAGCCTCCCCTTCCATCCCGACAGAAATCGAACCCCGGAAATTGACCAATGTGTCCTGATGCTCTACCAGTGAGCGACAGAGTTTTCGATGGTGAGCTACATCAGATACTAGTAGCATTATTTCAAGTGGGCCAGTTTGCAGGGTTCCACTCTCTTGGCTTGAGCTTCTCTTGATATGGAGTAATTCAAGTTTTCCGCAATGCATATTGCTAATTAATCATTCAAGTTTTAAGTAAGTAAAATTTCTTACCTTGCGCTCATTTTAGTTGAATGCTGACCTGAGGAAGCTGGCGGTCAACATGGTCCCATTCCCCCGCCTTCATTTCTTCATGCCAGGATTTGCACCGCTGACCAGTCGCGGTTCACAGCAGTACCGTGCCCTTACTGTACCGGAACTGACCCAGCAGATGTTTGATAGCAAGAACATGATGGCTGCTTGTGATCCCAGGCATGGCCGTTATCTCACCGTAGCAGCAGTGTTCCGAGGCAAGATGTCCATGAAGGAAGTGGATGAACAAATGTTGAACGTCCAGAACAAGAACAGGTTTGTGGTGGAGAGCCATTGTTATCGAGAAATAGCTATGCTATTCCTTTTATTTTCTCTCGTATTTTTATGAACACGTGTAAACAACATTGTACATTAAGGAACAGTCATTATGTTCATCGCATTTTTGTTTTTCCTTTTTTTTTTGGAGGAGGGGGGGTCGGAGGATTTTTTAGGTCACGATAAAACTTAATTGATTCCCCAATAAGGCTTTGTAACCTCGTTACTATCCCCCCTCATCAGCAGTTAATTTAATCCCCCCGTTTATACTCTGTTGGCGACTACTGATCCCCCTTTTGTTCTCCCTGAAAACCATGTGATCTCCCAAAAAATTCACTGAACATCCCCCCCCCACGATGGTAACTGGTCCCCAGTTCATTCTCACAGTGCCTCTCTCCACCCCACAGGTGAAGAGTCAGGGGAACTTAAAGACATCCTAGGGGCGGGGTTAAAAGAGATAGGGACTGCCTAAAAGGATTAGAATTTCGTTCGGGCTGATAAGATATACCTCAAGACACTTCTTGCAATTGAAGCTTTGGGATAAGCTCCGGCAGATATGACTCAACTCTCCTTTGATCCAATTTGGGAGTATCTGATGGAAGATATTTTTTCTATTCCTTGGTATCTTTCTTCCTAGTTCATACTTTGTTGAGTGGATTCCGAACAACGTCAAGACTGCTGTTTGTGATGTTCCTCCTCGCGGGCTCAAGATGTCCTCCACGTTCATTGGCAACAGTACTGCGATCCAGGACCTGTTTAAAAGAATCGGAGAACAGTTCACTGCTATGTTCAGGCGCAAAGCTTTCTTGCATTGGTACACAGGGGAAGGGATGGACGAGATGGAATTTACTGAGGTAAGAGGGAGGGGAGTGAAGTGGGGTTTGAGGCTTAGAATTTCTTCCAGTATGCCTCTATGGTTTGGTTTCTTAGTGAAGAATATAAAGAGTTCACGAGTGGGCCGCTGCCATAAATGTAAATAGTGTGTAATTCATCCGGAATTGAAAGGATGTTCTTTACTTCACTCTGTGATTGGTAACGGAATCTGGAACCTCGTGGTTAATTATGGTAGAGCACTTGACGTATTTTACGAACCAGTGAAAATAATGGTGTATCCGAAGTTAATCCTGTGCATATCAAAGAAAAAAATACAAAACAAACCAGAAAAAATTTTCGGCATCGTCATTTCTTTGTTAGCACGGATGAGATTTATGCCATTTAATTTATAAAAGCACATAACTGGCATCGAGAAGTGATTTCCGTGAAATGTAGTTGTCGTTGCAAATATAAACAGAGGTCAGACACGTGATTTAAATATTAAAAATGCCACCGGAAGTGATTGTGTGCAGATGTGGCAGCCGTGATCGTATAGTGGTTAGTACATTGCGTTGTGGCCGCAATAACCCAGGTTCGAATCCTGGTCACGGCACTCTCTGAAATTTTTTTCTTATCTCCTGGTTTTTTTCTTTCTTTTGTTTTATTTTCTGTTTATCTTTTAGAATTGGTCTGTACAATTTACGTTTGTTACTTACAATCCGTTTTGCTATTCGCTTTTATCATCCCGATTGGTTTGTTCTTTATTTACTCTCTTTTTGTGTGTCCTAGTCATAGAAACTATTATTTTAAGATTTCCCTCTGATTAAGGGGTTCCCTATGACGATGAATGACTCAAAATACGAAAATATACCCATCTAACCTAACAAACCTCCCCTCAATTTTTAGGCCGAGTCCAACATGAATGACCTAGTGTCTGAGTACCAGCAGTACCAGGACGCCACGGCCGAAGAGGAAGGAGAATACGACGAGGACGAAGGCGACGACGAAGAGGAAGCCGAGTAAATATCGACTCCACATCGATTTGAGTAACGCTGACATGCAAAAACTTCTTTAAGATTTAAGCGGAAGAAATCTCTTTATAGCGCTTGCGAGTTCTGTTTGCTCGCACTCTAGCCTGTTTGTACTCTGGCCTACATGTAGTCGTAACCTCCCCTCCAAGAAGAACGTTTCTCCTTAGGGGGGGGGGTGCGGCTACACGTAGGCTAGTGGTATTCTTGATCTCACTTTTTTGACCCTTTAACTCCCATTATTATCAATATACGCGGCCAAATAGAAAATCGGCATCTTCAAAACACACGCTCAGCGGGCCGCAAAAGACTGACAGCGGGCTGCTAATGCATTATCAGCCCTACAGCTTACATGATGATTTGAAGTGACTTTGAATTCGTCATTCACTTAGCTTGTATTATTAAAACTCGCATTCTTGATATCATTTGGCCTTGTTTATTGATAATAATGATAATGACATGACTTTTTTCGGGAATATTGTTTATTTGCGCCCGCGTAGTGTCATTTGCGCAAATGACACTACGCGGGCGCAAATAAACAATATTCCCGAAAAAAGTCATGTTATTCCCTTATTAGTGACCGGTGACCGCGACAGAAATTCACCTTACAATATCAATACAGTATCAAGCAGACAAGTAATGAAAATAAAGAAAAATATCAGTTAGGGGATAATGAGTTGATCCAATACCAAATTCTCCATACTAAAATCACAAGAGCTGTATGACAAAAAGTAAGGAGAATTACTGATGAGATCTTGGGAGTTAAAGGGTAAATGCTTCAATCAGTCTTTGATAAAAAGATTGTCTATTGGTATTGTTTTTATTGAGGTTGTTGTTGCTAACAATTCCCTAACTTAAATTTAACTTTAAAGCCCTAATTTTAATTGACAAAATGACAAATGGTGTCTTAAAGATTTGTAGAATCAGTGCTCAGCTCTAACACTTGATTTTTTTTAATTTCTAAATTAAAATGGGAATCGTCTAATAAAATAGAAGAGACACTAATTACGAATTTCGATATGGGAAGTAAATCTTCAATTTAAATCAACAAGCTAGGGTCTGAATTTATCAGAACTAACACGAATATGACAATGATCATGATTATTTTTTGTGCGATTTAAATTATCTCTTTGATGGAAAATAGCTCTCTTGACTTCTTCAAGAAAACAAGATTGAAGGAATCAAAGTCCATGTGTGCATTAAATTCGTCACGCCACGCCACGATCAATGCCCATTTTTTTGTCCCAACAGTGAGGCGAAATGAAACAATTTTGGATTAAACCTACTACACAATTCCCTCCTAAGTACCAGCTTGTTCCCTATAATCCTATGAAACAAGCTTTTTTGATTTTGCACCAGCCACTGCCTTTTCTTGTTTTGCACGTGCCACTGCCTTTCAAGTTTTCTTTTGCACGTGCTGAATAATGCAAATTAATAGCTGTGCGGTGTGAACAGCGCGCAGTTTGGTGCTAAAACGGAGAATCTTCAGTGATAAATTATTTGGGCTATTCAAAGTTAGTGAAACCGGAGATTTCATACAGATGTAAGTACAAACTATTTTTTTTCTCACTGACATCCCCAGCGCCCCGGTGTGGTCGCTCATCCATTCGCACAATAGCAGTTTCAGACGTAAACAAGTCACCTTTATTTTAAAATTCGATTTTATTCACATACCAAAACTGTACACAATATATTTTTATAAACTCCGGAGGACGTGTATGGGTAAAAATTACAAATTTTTGTAATTACACCCATTTATTTGACAGGTTGGAAAGTTTAAAAAATCTTTCCAGCTGGAGCTTTGTAAAGAGAAATTACCTCAGTTTTCCATTTAAAGATCGTCCTGAAAAAGCCTAAATAGTAGTTCATCTAATGTTAAATTACCTTTCTACATTAAGGTCGCTCATTTTGAACGATCCTCCTTGCACTTAAGATCGACTCTACATTTTTAAATACATTCGAGTTCATTCAGGCTTACAGTATATTAATTTACACTTCGTGGAATCGTTACTCGCAAACCAAGGTACATTTCGAAACTATTGTTTATATCTATGAAATTCACCAAAATCTTTAAGTATTCCTCCCTTTCGTCAACTTGATCCTTATTCGTAAATAATATTTAAAAATTGAAAAGCGGTCGTTTGTCGAACTTTCTCTTAACAAGTAGAGTTTATTAACGTACGTCTGGCTGAGAGACAATTCACAGCATCCATAAGCCCTTTGTAACACACTGACAACAATGCAATCACGCATGCCGCTGCAATCCAACATGACAAAGTACCTATATGGCTGCTATGCGATAAAACGAGGTTTATTTTCAACTGGAAAAAGCCATTTATCTCCAAGACTGATGCGAGTAAAACAATTTTTTAATATTTCTGTTTTCAGGTAAATCTTTCGCCCCGGGATTTCGCAAATTTCTTTTTTGGCGGTACCAAAATGTCTTTTGTTGCAAGTAAATGGCCAACATTGTATTCTGCTGACTTTGAAGAGTCTGAAATCATTAACGCATGAACTACCAAACAAACGGAGTTCTCTAAACGTTCTCTCTATAGGGAAAAATAATAATATTACTTTCACATAAATGTTAAAAATATACTTCTGTTTGAAATGTATAAATACCGTAATAAGGCTTACAAAGAAATATAAAATAACTTAGCTCTTTGATAATGAAAATATCTCTAGAAAATTATGACAATGCTGGCATTCTTTTTGTGTGATCTTGTCGATACTTAGGTGAGAGATGTGAAACTAGTTTCCATTGAGAATAGTAACTACGCCGGCCAAATGTTTTTCCTGACCAAACGATGGTGGATCCAAGTTAAAACATACTATAAAATACACGCTTACATCATGATACAATACAAAATGTCTTGATGACGTCAACAGTTTCACACTTGAGTGGTCCGTTTATCGAATGACGTCACCATCATGATACTTGACTTGCAGTCTGTAATTCGCTTCTGGAGGTTATTGTTTTCCACTTCTAACGCATCTATAAAACGTGGATCCTCCCAATTGAGTTCTTTCTCGGCTCTCACTGCAAGACAACGAAACATTAAAGTTGTAACCACAGTACACAAATATGTACCAATAAAAGTTGAACGACAAAGTTTGGTTTTCCAAACCTAACTGCTAAATTTAAGCAATTCCAGCGAAAGACGAGTTATTGAGCTTAAGTTAAGAAATAATATTCTATTCTTCATTACAATACATGAAATGATTCAGTTTCATCGTGATTTTGTTAAGCAAGACCATAGCTAACTAACAGATATCTAGAAAATTTTTGGTTATACCGTACATTGATTGCTAAAGAAAACTTGCGCCACTCTTGAAACCAATCAAATGCAAAGCTTAAATCAAACGCAATGTGGTCACCCGCGTTTTCCCGCGCTTTAAGTAGCTTGCCTATTTTTACTTTGTTTCCTTATTGGTCAATGGTGACCTTTCTTCCGATTGGCCATTGTAATAACTTTGGCGAAGGTTTACCTTCACGTGATAGAAAACAATCCACCTAAATTCAGTTTCCGGGCTACAGCAGCTTTCGTTATCAAATTTGCTTTGCTAACGGAGTCAGTGTCAGTGTATAATCGGTGGCGTGTCCTTGAGCTATAAGTTGCAAATAGGAGTTAGCCCCTTATTTTTCAATTTAGAGGGAAAACTTACGTCCAAAGCTCCATCTCTGGTGTTCATCGAGCAATCGATTCTTGGCCGCTGAGAATTCTTCCTTCAAATGTCGCTGTCTCTGTCTCAGGGATGCAATGCGGGTTTTTCTCTGTTCAGAATCTTTCCACTAATGAAAAAAAGGAAACGTTATTGGATAAGTATATAAGAGAAAGCCGACCCGACAGACCAGAAGTAAACGAACGAATGGTAACGAACACACGAGCAAACAAACGAACAGACATGAACGCAAAAAAAAAACGAACCAACAAACACGAACGCACGAACAAACGAACGAACCGACACGAACGCACAAGCGAACGAACCAACGGACACGAACGCACGAACGAACGAACGAACGAACGAACTTTGGTACGAAGGAGTGAGCGAACTGATAACGACAGAATCATATACATACAACCAACAAATTCAGTCGAAGAAACGGAAGTAATAAATAGTTTATACCTGAAAGTTAGGTTCCATAGCTTGTTGTAATTTTTCGATGTCATCGACTTCGTAAACCTTGATCTGAACCGGCTCCAATGACTTCCTCGAAAACCAACGCCTAGGAGAATATTTTCGTGCACTGGATCCTGGTGAAGCAGAACGACTTCTACCTAAATAATGGTGATAAAAATAATATAATGTTAACAATATTAATAAGGTCTATGACGATGTTCCTGCTAGCAATTTAAGGTGCGCAGGTGTACGGAATTACAGAGCAGTTTTCTTAGAGGGATTAAACCTTTCCGAAACTTTGTCAGGTCAAGCTAAACAAACATTTTCAAACGGCGTATCCAAAAAAAATCCACGTTGTTATTGGTTCTGTTCAGCTTTGTTCTACTATTGGTCGAGAAAATTGGTACCACCCCTAAGTTTACCAATCAGAAGTAAATTTAAAGCCAATCACAACTTGTTTATTCGCGTTTTCTAGCGCTTAGGAAGTTTGCTTGTATTTGCTTCAATCTTACATGGATTTTGACAATCAGCTTTGCCCTAATTTACGGATGTGAAAACTCTTTATTCCGGTTTCACGACAGTCAGTCGGCATGAAGATCCCTCAAGTGGATTCGATACCCAATAAATACCTATCAGAAATTAATGAGAGAGCTCCCAACCAAGTTTGAAAATGTAAAAACATCTTATTTCGTACCGTTGCTTAGCAACCTTTGACACTATACCGCGACTTCTCACCTTTTCGTTTCCCACGACTCAGACCTTTTTCACTGCAACTGTCACTTGAGGCGTGACTTGCATCGTTGCGCATGCTCTCGTAGCCACTGCTGCTGGCTGCATCGGATCGAGAAGATACTGAAGGAATAAGGAAAAAAAGAGAACGAAAAAATAAGTTTCCTTTTCTCTTTTATTTCAATTCGATTAAAATGCATGCAATTTGTGTGAAGTAGAAATTATTGTGTATAGACTGTTACAAAACCAATTTTACGACAAAAACTTCATTTTAAGAGCAAAACTTGCCAATTGATCGAGGTTCATGTGAGGATTGATATGCTTTTCATAATTTTAAGTCCTTTACACTTACACGACTTGAGTCTCTTCAGCGACCGACTTCGTC